ACATATTTCAATGTGTAATAAATGAAATTTAATTTTAAGAAATTTTATGCAAATTGGTATTTGAATTTAGTTTGGGATTAATTTATGTGTTATCTATCTTGAATAATATGAGGTCTTGGATTTAACCGTTTTATTTTAATTTTTTAACATTTGAAATCATATTTTCAAGACACCATGAAATTTGCTCCCTAGTGTCTGTATTATCAACTAACTAGTGCTTGGTGCTATTTCCAAACCAGTGTAGGCATAGAGTAGAATACAATATGACCTGTTTTATGATGTATTTTATTATATTGTGTGTTATTGTTGTTTAGTTTAGTCTGTACCATAGAGCATCCAATGAAAACCAAAATTATGGCACCCGTGAGAAATCACGTTCAGCATCTTTATAAATATTCGTTTCTAACAAAGAGCAATTTCCTTTTCTTTTCCAAAAATGGTTCATCACAGCCAGGTAACAATGTAGCTGTGAAAGTGGTAAGCAATTAATGCATATCTTTTTAATCCAACATTTTTTCTTATTACTGTAAACATTATAGTAGCTACATATGTCAGAGTAGACGTCCTTGTATTATTATTATTTTTTTTTTTTTTTTTAACAGTGAAATTAACATCTACAATCCTGGAGATCAAAAGTCTTATTAAAGAAAATGTGCCTATCAACAAGTAATGGACACATATTTCTTTTAATGGAGGAAAACAGTCATCAAGCCAGGTGTGCTTTACCATTTAACTACATGAAGCAATTACAGAAAAGCAAGGCCCAATTACTATATATACATCTTTTGTTGGGACCTTTTGAAGTCTGTATCTGTTAGTTTTTTTTAGTTTTTTTTTATTTTCACAATAGGCTCCAGACAATCTTGGTGATCAAAGAAGAAAGAAATCTTGCAAAATTGCTAAATCTGAATTACTCTTGATGGTGAAATCACAACAGAAAAATAAATTCTATCGACTGCTCAACTTAATCAGAGTTCATATTTCCTTTAAAATTTCTTGCAAACTATATCAACTTCATTCTGAATATGCAACTGATAAGAAACGGCTCTTCATTTTCAACTGAAGATCTTCTTTCCAAGATGTGTTAAGTCTACATACAGTGTATTTCATAATTACAGATTTAATGTAAGTTTATGCACCCAAATATAAATTTTGTTGATTTTGTTTAGTGGCATATCCACCTCTAGGAGTTATTTAATGCTGAAATCTAAATATTTTGAACACAATTTTCTGGCTTTAATTAAATATATTTTGAACCCAATTGTATGGCTTCAACTACAGATAAAATGTATTGTCGGTCATTTTGCTATAAAACATTCTTGGTAATTCTACTATAAAGCATTGGTTTGTGGTTGGTTGGTTGATTTTGTTTAGTGGCATATCAACTGTTACGGGTTATTTAATGCCGAAATCTAAAAATATTTTGAGCACAGTTGTATGGCTTCAACTATAGATAAAATGTATCTTCAGTCATTTTGCTATAAAATGTATTGTCTGTAATCTCATTGGTTATTTTGTCAGAACAAAATGACACGGTACCTAATGCATTTATTCTTCAATCATCATTGTAAAAATTTTTTATTTCATGAATTGACGGAATGGTAAGATCAGAACTTCACTTAACCAGAGAAATGTCTTCTGACAAAATTGTTAAAATAAGAAACTAATTTATATTCAGAGTTCATAAAATCATACTCTTAATTAAACAAGTTAGCATCAGCCATTTCTAGAATGGTAAGACTGGTTCTTTACAATGAATCGGTGTTGAAAATGAATATGGCAGTCAGCTGATGAATCGTTCCATTAGCACAAAGTCAACTTCATGCACAAGAGATTTTGGTTACAACTCAAAATGATCTGGCTTTATTCTAGCTTGGATCAGATTTCACCTTTGGTCATATAACCATTCATTTTCTATTAACAAAAGAGAGAGATAAATTGTCAAGAATAATTTCTTATAATCCCAGAATATGGCCTTGAAGAACTGTGCGCATCCTGACTCACCAGGTAAACAAAAATTATTTTGCTTATTTTAGTTTATCAGAGCAAAAATGAGTATAATAATGATGTAAATATGAATCTGAATTCAGTGATGCTTTCATTAAGTAGCAGAGGTATGGCCCAAAGATAAGGAAGCAGGAGGAAAAAAAGGTGGGAGAGGTGAGTGTGATTTGAGACAAACGTGAATTTTATAGATTCATCACAAACAACCTCATAACCATTCCTAACTGCTTCAAAAAAGGTCAGAAGACAAAATCTTTTCCAACACCCCACCCACCATTAGCTTAAAAGTTTAACTCATAAAAGCCTTGTCTAAGTTTTTTACCTCAACATTTTTTAGATTATTACTGAACCTTAATTTGACATTTTAACACTTATGTTCTTCATTTGTTAACAGCATATAGGTAAAAATAAAATAGGAAACAACAAATGGTTAGCATCTGCTTTCATTTTTTGTTTCAGTTCCTCATTCATCTTTGAATTTCAAACATTCTCTAGAAAAACATAAAAGAAAAAAAAAATGGAATAAGTGACTTGTGAAGATTTTACAGGTAAACACATTTGAGGGAATTGACTTCAATTTGAAGGCAAGTGAATAGATGTAGTAATAAGATTAAAGTTTTACAGTCAATAATCTTTAATACTTTAAAAATGAAGTTTACCAAAACAAATAAGAACAATTTGGAAGAGTTCTAAACATTTTCTATTAAGAAACTAGTGTACAGTGAGCAGGCCTTTATTCCTCACCAACTTTATAAAGACTATTCCACTGTAAAATTTGTGAAGGCACATATAAAGTGTTTTACTTCTTAAATATTGAAGGGTACCTAAATTTTTAAGTATTCACAGAAACAAAACCAATAAGTAAATGCTGTTTTCCTTAACATGACTGACATGAAATGAAAACTTAAGAGACTATGTGTACCAAGCTCAAGTAATCTCTGTTAATAATTAACTGACAGAAGTTGATTTCCTTTTTGACATTAACCATAACTCACAAGCATAGAATTGTTATATAAAGATGCCAACAATACAATGAATCAAAACTCAGTCTGATATTTCAGAGTATTACACTTTTATTGTACACTTCATAATAATACAAAATGTTTGAAAAATAAAAAGGAAATAAAATGTTCTTTCTATTGATGGAAAACAATGTAAATCGTTTAGCAATTATACTTTATAAGAAATCAATAAACAAACACCTATTTCTTCATTTTTTCCATGGTTTTATAAATAAGATTGAATCACCACACAAACACACCTGCATAAATTACATGATATCCAATGACCAATGGACAAGCTAAAGAACCCCTGAAAATATGGATCTTTATCTTCACTCCCACGTTGCTTGAACAGACACTTTACCGTGACAGGATCTGCTTAAATAATAATAAAAATCAAGCAACTGTATTGTTTGAGATTTCTTGGTGCAATTGAACAGAATGAATAACAAATTTTTCCCCCCCCATGCTAATTCAGATTTATTAGGAAGAATGCATGTGTGTTTGAGATTCTGTGACTGACTCAAGGTTGTCAAAGATAATAAACATTATAGGTGTCCAGGAGAATGTTAAGAAAAAGAAAATCATTAAGAAAAATAAAAAAATCATTCCCAATGATCGATAACCAAACATCAGAACGATTTCAGAAAGGAGGAAACTGTTAGTCAAATTTTACAAAAGAAAATTCCGAACATTCATCATCTTTGATATCATATCAATGTCCAGAAAATGTTTTGTGCCACTTAAACACACATGCATGTGAGTTTCAAATTGATAAATTGCTCAATTTTTGAACTGGCCATTTTCATGATATGTCATAAAAGAAAAAACAGTATTTAGTTCAAGCGATTCATAGCACAAATGAACCGAGACTTTCAAGGGTTGGTCAATGCATACCATGTAATTCAGACACATGTTTGATAGTTCAAATCAAATCTTTTCGAATATAAGAATCTTGTTACCTGCCATGAAAATCAACATTCAAGATCCTATGTGGGCTCGAACATTGATATCAGTAAGAAATATGACACTACTTCAGTCATGAAGCAGTCCTGTTTACAAAACTTAGATTAGTCTAACAAGTCAACTATAGCAAACTGATTGTAAAATGTGATTGGTAACCACCATGCTAAAGTATATATTTTACTCAGTCAAAGTTAGTTTCGAACAAGGCAGTGAGGCATCTGGGGAGAATTGAACTCACTATTCCAGTGGGTCAGCATTCAAGCTGAATTTGCTAACCAGTGAACTACAGAAGATATCACTGCACAGTAAATTAAAACCAAGTATGAGTTTCAAATAGATGGAGTGGATGGAATAAAAGGGGATTTCTTTTTTTATGGGGTTTTCAGTAATGGAATGCTCTGTCCTAAAATGCTTGCAGGTTAGATCAAGAGATGGGAGGAATAAGGAGGTAGTGGATAGATATTTTTCTCAAAAAACAATCATCCCAGCCCATTTATTTGAAACTCAAAAATAAAAAGGAAGTCTCAGAGTATTTTGTTTAATACAAGGTAAAAGCATTAGGGTGGAAAATCCTTAACTTCAAAACTTGAAAGAAAAACCTTCCCGTTTTATATTTAAGCTACACATTGATTTTTGGAACTTATTTTTCCCTTTTCTTCAAAGTGGGTTATTAAAAGTGAGGATGAAAATGCAAGCCTTTCTGTTGTTCACAATTAATGAAATAGACTTGAAAACATTCAAACCAAGTGCTGATTGGTTGGTTGTTTTTGTTTAACAGCGTATCAACATCTATGGGTTATTTAATGCTGAAATCTAAATATTTTGTATTAAATTTTTATTTTATTTTTGGAAATAATGGTTTAGTTATACAGATTTCACTAATTAACCCATAGCTGGGTAGAAGAGGTAGATTCATACCTTTCCCAATATTTGCATGTGAGTGAATATAACAAGCCCAAATGGAATTGGAATGCCTCTCCCAGATTAACAGTTCCAAGCAATTATCCCTTACACTACATGCACATACAGGCTTACAGTACATGGTAATCCCAAGCAGTCACCCATCTAGGTACTGACCAGGCTTGACAACACTTAACTTTGGTGATCCTACAGGAACCAGTGTTTCAAGCTATACCAAGTGTTAATCCATCAAATATAAAAGATGGATAAATGTAAACATTTTAGAAGAAAATTGAATTTTTGTGGGTGGTAAGTACAATTTCTTTCTGTTCATTGTCTTGTAGCCCAGTCTGCCAGTGTTTTGAGTTTGATCTTGATTACTGCGTGGCCTTGTAAAGGATCAGGAAAGCAAGATTACAAGAATGCCTTATTATGGAACAATGGTCAGCAGGCTTTGTCTCTTGAAACTCACTAGTGAAGCCTTTAGTCATACAAAGCTAAGTAAATATTGATAACACAACTGAAAAGAAGAGGAACTGTTAAAAGATGAGCAAGACATACTGGCTGAAAGTTTCAGAAAGAAACTTCCCAAATATTCCAATTTGCTGCTTAGTTGGGATAAGAACTTTTCAGAGTGCAAAGATATCACATTGATTTCAAGCAGAGGTGTCAATTCATATTTAAACAACCCCATCATATTTGACAGGTCCTACTACACTTCTAAGAGAATGATAGTCAACATTGCTTCACAAGAGAAAATACAGTAATAGCTACAATGATAAGATCTAGAGTGAAGTACGTGAACAAGAAAAGGTTAATATTGCATGGTTTCTGAACTCAGAACACAATAGAACTGATGAAACCTAAATCTTGCTGCTAGGATGCACTTGCCTGGATGTCAGGTCTAGCAATCATATTAAACAAATCAACTTGACTCTTTACATGCTTCAGAGTAAATTGAAAAGAATGGGAAGAAGCCTTTCAACAAGAACATCTACAGAAGATTTGCACTTTTTAGATTTCCTTTCTTTTTATTCATGTCCACCCAATAGAAGCCCAAAGAGTCACTCAAGATAGAGGGTTACTGAATGAGGTTGTTGAAAGCAGATGACGGCTGACCCAAGACTTGAAGCGGTGAAAATTGTAGTGACCAAAGAAGCATCCTTCTGGTAGTCTGTTCTACAAAGTAGCCATTCTTGGGGGGAAAAACTGTCCAAGTGGCACTCCCTTCTTACTAATGAAATACGAAGGGAATGAGGATGATTTGATCCTGTGTATGTAATGTGGCATGGCAGAACTTAGATGCAAATATCTAGTTAGACAAGGTTTCTATAGTGTGTGCTGAATCCAGAAGAGCAAGCCATAACTTTTAATGCAACATCTGGTCTCTGACTGAAGTTTTTTTGATTGTGCATCATAGTGCGAGGAAATAGTAAAATCGGGCTCCATTCAAGTAAATATGAATGAAATTAAATCTGCAGCTAAGAGAAATTTAGTAGACATCATTACAGAAATGAAGTCATCATCCATCAGAGGATATATAACCAAGGAAGATCATCTGAAATAAAAGATCTAAGCTGAAGAATTGAAAGTGTAACATAACAAACAATTGCATGATATCACCGAATTTTTAAAAAAGGTAGTCATTTATAATTAAATGACTAGTCAGAAAACAATTAAGTTGGTTACTGATGATTGAACTTAAAGTTAATGGATTTAAAGTCATGAAAGCATTATGATAAATATTCAACAGAAATTCAATAATTTTACTTACACAATTGGAAGAAAGAGTTTGGACAACTGTCACAGACTTTAAAATGGTACTGATCACTTAGATCTTGTAAATGTATCTTTAAAAGATGTTCTGAATCACTTAGTTGAACACAAAGTGAAAAACCATTTTAGTTTGATAAAGTTGGTATTATTTCAATTATTAACAGTAGGTACATTTTTAATGTAAAGCAAGAGTAGACAGCATCTGGTACATTTGCTTAGTGAATTTGTACAAATATAACAAAAGTTCTTTATCTAGAAACTAAAGATTCTGAATGGATACGAAATCTATAAACAACACACACAAAAACAAAATGCAGACACAAACTGTAGATTATTTTTTTTTTAAATATTACAACGCTACAATAAACAAACGTTCTTCTTTTTAAATTATCATCTAAGAATTTTTGGTATGGTTGGGGTTTTAATTAATCAAGTGATGTACATTATTAAAATAAAATTTCCCAAAAATAAATCAACATTTTCGCGAAAGTAAAAGTACAAAAAAAGAAAAGAAAAAATTTGCTAAACAGGATCAAAAATAAATTTTACACTACAGTGACTGCTTATTTTTTTCTTATCAATTGAACCCCAAGAGCTTAAAAAAAAAAAAAAATACACAGAACAAATTCCCCAAAATTTAGAAAAAAAAAAAAAATATAAAGTTTAACAAAAAATAGCATTTGTTGTGTGATTGAAAAATGAAAATAAAAAACCGTCAACTTATTTTGTGAAATATTTAAAAAGATTGTGACTGAGCGATTTTTCCAGGCGAAAGAAATTTGTATTTGGCTCCAAAAAGAAAAAGAAAGAAAGAAAGAAAGAAAAACTATTTTTAAAAGATCAAGCTCCAAAAGTTTCTACAACGATTTTTTGTTTGAAAGAGAAAACAAAAGAAAAAAAACTGATTTTTAATGGCATGATCCAAACAAAACGAAAATAGCTGATGCGAAAATATGTCCCGGGTTTACAAGAAATAAAAAAAGTAATAAAAGTGAGTACCGATAAAATCAAAAAGAAAGGAAAAAAAAAAAAATAGATCATCAAAAAAGAAAAAAAAAAGATTTCTTAATTAGGAAGGTATCAGAAAGTAGGTAAATTTAACAAAACGAGAGAAAGAGCAAGAAAAAGGAAGAGAAAAAAGTTCATTCAAATAAAATTACATAAAAAACTTAATCGCTGAATGACGGGAACCGCGAGTAAAAGAATATAAACACTAAACACACACACATACGCGAAAAAACCCTAATTTTTATTCTTTATTGGTCCTTGTCAAGAAAAAAAAAGAAAAGGAGCTTTTTAAAACTTCCTTCCCTACTCTCTAAATAAGAAAAAAAAATCACAGGTACTAAATAACTTGTAAAAAAAATCCATAACAGTTGACAAATTAAACAAAGATCGCAAATGGGTAAAAAAAAAAAAAAGGAAAAAAAAAAGATCCCTTGTAGATGACGAAAAAGGTAAGGATCTCTCAAAGAGTCCAACCATAAAAAGAAGAAAAACTCCAAGACTGGTGGTAAGTAATACTTTGTTCTTTGTACAATGGATGAGGACACCGAAACAAAAGTTCACAATGTTTATTTTGTTGACAAATAAGTGTATTATTTTTATTTAGTTTCATCTAATTTAGATTACGAGGGAAAAGAGAGAAAAAAAGAGAAATCGTCCGGTCTGGGCGCGCGCGTGTGTGTATATGTATATAAATATATATGTGTGTGTGTGTATGTGTGTACACACATTACACAGTGAAATAAAATTAAGAAGATCCAAGTAAAAAGTGAGTGTGTGCCTGTTCAGTGTTCACACACACACACACATCGAGAGAGATCAGAGAAACAACTAATTGGAATGGAAGAGGAAAATATCTCGATTTTTTAAAAAATTGAACCAGTAGTAAAAGAAATCTTTTTTTTTTTTTGGAAAAAAGTTAACGAATTCAACCCCCACCCCAAAAAGTGTCCCAATACAAAAATAAGTGAATACCAACAAAAAAGCGATCTAAACTTGTGAAACTGTAGTAAAAAAAAATATTAGCGATTTTACCTCAAGAGGAAATATATAAAAGTAATCGGAGGAAAAATAAATAAAGCGAAGAAATAAGAAAAAGAAAAATTTAAAAACACAGGCGAAACGATTTTTCTTTCTTGATTGTGGAGACATCTCTTTTCAGTTCCACAACAAAAACATCAAACATTGGATTTTACGGACAAAAAGAGTGAAAAAAATAAATCAAAAAGTTTACAACAGAGAACTAGTTGAACGAATTGAAATGTTGTTGTCCCAAGTAAATGTATTAAGATCTAAAAAATCAATTTTTTTAAACTGACAAATATTCTTCTTGCTTCCGTTTGATTTTGTCTTTCTGTGTGCAAGTCTCCGTGTTCTCACACACACACACAAACAGTAATACCATGTTTACACCTCTTAAGAAAGCAAATTATCGCTGTTCTTCACTCACAGAGACCGACATGCAGCAATTAAATAGACAGTAAACTAACAAAAAGTAAAGGAGAAACTTGTGATATTACTTACTTGGACAATGGAAGAGCTGTTCGGATGGTAGCCACGCTAACAAACTTGGACAGACTCTATAACAAGTTCACGTAAAGCGCCATTTTTCGCCAAGTGAACTTAAAAATATTGAGGGCGACGCATGCGCATAGCTACCGCTTTGCCTTAAAGCAGATACTTTATTCGTAGCCACTGTTTAGTAAGAATTTAAGGGCGACAACTTCTTTGGGCTTATTTCTAAGGTTAAGAGAAGTGCTTTCCCTTTAAAGAAATATATATTTGTTTTTGTTTTTTTTCTCTATGCAATAAAATATTTTGCATTACCAAGTTTCATCCAGCCAAATAAAAATAGTAAATAGTTTAACTTGGATATCTCATTCTTATTTTAGGCTAATAATTTTCAATGTTGTATTAAAATTAAATTAAGTATTTTATGTATAAACTAGCAAAACTTTTGTAAATTTTGTATAACATTTCAAAATTCTAGCCAGGATTTTTTAAACTATTCACGTTTTTGTTTTCTGTGTACTGTCTTATTGAAATAATTTAATTATTTTTTTTTTAAATTATTTCATAAATTTATCTAAGTAAATCTGAAAGTTTTCACTTTAAATTATTTTTTCTTCCTGATTTGTTATAGAATTGTTAAATTTTAAATCAGATCAAGTGAGGGTAAAATTTTATAGACCTATTTTGTGTACAGGTCAAAGGATGAGATTTTCAGGAGATTTTTAAAACTCCTTTTCAATTGCAGGTGGTTCCTTTGAAAGAAAATATTTGACTCAAAAAGAATTGTGGTCGTAATTTTAACAATATCCTAAGATTTCACTTAAAATTGTATACCCATCATTCAGAATTTAAGTTAAAAATAATTCATCAAATAATATTTCGATTACAATAATATTTTGATTACAGATGGATTTCAATTCTTTTTTTTTAATTCT